CAACTATATTATGAGTCTTTCTTCGCAGAAGTTTCCTTTAAGCGCCTTTATTCGTGTCTAGTGACGATATGATATGTGGAAAATCATCTCCATGCATCTAATCCAGGCATGTAATGTTGTTAATCCGTAATACTAGCTTCAACTCTTTCCCCCATAGATCGCAGTCCTTTCAAATATGCTTCATATATGTGCTCAAATCCGTATTCTCTCGAAAGTGTAGTGTTTTTGCGCCTTTCATTTGGTTCTGAAGAAATTGTATAGGAGGTATACGGTCTTCCTCGCTTTCCAGAAAATGTAGAAGCCATAGAGAAAGCTGCATCGTCTTCAGTCATGGAAACCGGCAAACTTGCCGAATGCTCTCCATCAAGCCAATCGCTATTTTCTTTAAGAAATCGATCCTTTTCGCGTTGAGCCGTAATCCAACGCGTATTGCATTGCCATAATAACTTTTTTTCTTTAAAATCATTAATTACAAATTCTGCGTTGACTTCCGAAACTTGATATTTTTCCCTTAAAAAAGTGGATAAGGCCGACTCATTTCTTCAGTTCTCTATATAAAAAGCAATAGCAGACGTTTTGGAAACTTTAAAGAACTCATTGCTTCAAATTTATTGCTTCTCGAAAACAAGCTTCTTTATTCTATATATGTAGTTCCGAACTTTTGGGGAATACGCAGTAAACTGCCCGTATCAGCATGTAGATGTTTCTTAACCATTGTGAATTGCAGGTACCAATACTAATTTTACACAGTTACAGTACCTAGCAGGCAATCGGACATATTCTTTCTCAAAAACGAGCGCCCCTATTCTAGATGTATTCCTTACCCATTGTGGGTACTGGATTGTGGAAAATTAGTATTGGTACCTGCAATTCACAATAGTCAAGAAATATCTGCATGCTGATACGGGCAGTTTAATGCGTATTCCCCAAAAGTTCGGTGTGAATTTTAGGTATCAATACTAACTTTCGGCAGTTGGAGGACCTAGCAGGTAATCGTACATACTTATATTGTGTGGTCAAGTATATCCTTAAAAGTAGGAAATCTAATAAGAATCGTATTTCTTGGTAATTCCGTATGCATGGTGAAAGGTAATTTTTTCTAAAAATTATTAGAATCTTACAAATTAAACATCATGTAACAGGTGCGGTTGTCTAGTTTTCGAATATATAAATTGTTTTTTGTTAGGTTTGAAGATTTATTATTTATAGGGTTAAAAGCCCAGTAATACTAGTAGCGGCTGAAATCCCGAATCTCACGTAGTGCCACTTAAAACATCATAACTTCAAATGGCACAAACTTAAACATTTTTCCGTGTAGTAGGCGGATTTTTCGTGCCTTTAATGAATTCAAATTCAAAACATAACCAAGCGGCGAAAACCTTCGAAACTTTCATCGAAATTTAAAAAATCGAAACAACATTTTCCTTTTATTACAGAAGCTATTGCTGCAACCTGTTATTTCATAATAAAATATTTATAGCTAATTTTAAATCTGAATATAACATGTAGCTTAAGTCCGTTTTTCTTAATAGGTCCTTGCTAGGAAAAAAATTCCTAAACTGCGGATCTGAAATTACTGCGTTGCGAGTAAAAATTTCAACAATTTGAATATGTCAACTTCTTAAGCAATTTTCACTCTATTTCATTAAATAAACATACAAAAAATCTTTAGAACATTAAAGCACGCTTTATTCCCTAAAGAATGATACACCACGCCCACCTCCCATATAACGGTATTTTCGAAATATGCAAAAACTACGATATTTCCGCAATTACCGGATCCAAATTGCTGAAAGTTGGTATGCGAAGTAGAATTTTAGCACAAAACAAGAAAGTTATGAAATATATTATAATGAAATGCAGTATCTCTGTGGTCCCTTCACCAATCCCAACCAAACTCGGTGCAAACACTGGTTACGGCCTGACTTGAAAATTTTTTGAAATCAGACAGGAACCACGCCCACCTCCCATATAACGGTAATTTACAGAAATACGAAAACTTCGACAAATTAGTAATTATTTAGCTCTTAACAGAAAATGATTTTTAGGGAAATTTTTGGAAAATGGGCGTGGAACCGCCCACTTACGCCTACATACATATGTGTATCTCGGTAACCGGTTTATTAGTTTCTACCAAACTCGGCACATTTATCAATCTTGGCGCAAAAAAGCAGTATGTTGAACATTTTTTAAATCGGGCCAAAATTACTGCCTTTCATTATATAAAGGTAAATTTTGAGAAATACGAAAACTCCGATTTTTCAATAACTAAAGACGCTAGCTTACAAAAATTTCTTAACAAGACACAAGATTATTGATTTTTGTAAAATGGGCGTGGCACCACCCACTTATGACTACATAAGTGTGTATCGATAACCGCCTTAGCGACTTCCACCAAACTTGGTCCAACTATTTCAATATATTATAGCATATTATCGAAACTGTTTAACATCGGAAAAATAATATTGCAGTTTACTGAAAGGTGAAAAAACGATATTTATTACGTGCGCCGGGTGTGTAAAAGTTTGGTTTCGCCTGCATAAGTCAAGAGCAGTTCGTTCTTTTATGATAAAAAAAATTCAAAATTTGAGCGTTTCAGACAAATCATCATCAATCATCGAGCTCCACGAGTTTTGCCACAAAATAACATTGCATATAATATCAGAAATAACTTCAAAATCTTTAGAAATAATTGTGGTATGCAGTTTTGTTGCCCATTAGATTCCCAGTCGGAAAAGTAGTAATGCATTACATGCGTGTTAAGTAATATAATGTATTTCTTATGAGTTCTCGATTATATTACTGCTAACTATGTAATCAGCATTCTAATTTATTCAAAAAATTCCAAAAATTTCATATTGAAACACATTAATTTCTCGTTACTAGGTAATGCAAAACTGAATGCCCCACTTTTCTTAGGACATCGCCCTGGGGAAAAAATGCTTTTTCGAATGTAAAAAGGGTCGTTTTACTGATTATCTTTTCGATTACTATACATTACACTTTCCCACTAGGTTGTAGTGCTGGTTTCAGCTGGTAAGAAATTCCGTTGATTTTTGGCAATTTTTTTTGATAGCAGTGCCTGAAATATAAAAGAAAATTGTGGAACATTCTTTATATAGAAAAAAATGTGAAACTCCTTCAACCAAAAAAATAACCAAAATCAATGGGATTTTTTACCAATTTGAAGCTTGAACTTCATTATATGTATGTGCTACAATCTAATGGGCTACAGAACTGCATATCAAAATTCTAAGTACCTAATCTAAGTATTCTGATTAAAAAGCTTGGATTTTTGGTGAAATTTTGCAGAATTTTATAATTTTTGAACAAAGTTTAAAATGCGAATTTTTATGGTGTTTGTTCTATGAGCAGCTAGACAATTATAAAAACACAGCAAACTTTAAATTAACAAAGACAAATAGTCAAAACTGATAAAAATATTATTTTGTGGGCATCTAAAAGTGACGTTATGTATTATGTATGTACGTAGATTTTAATTTCGCTAGCTACATTTCGGAATTTCCGACGTGGGCAAATTTCGAACATTGTACTTTGCTATACCTTAGCTTTAAGGCAACTCTTAAGACAATAAGTTCCGCCAACCTCTTCTGATATCCTTGTGGTGTACATTTCGAATGGTGAACCACCATAAAAGTAACAAGTGATTGAGCAACAAGTGCCATACGAATCCATGTCTGCCAGGGTAGCCAACTCGTGGGGAATTCCCCGATTTGCGGGGAATTTCAGTTTGCGTGTGAAATCGGAGAATGGACCGTTTTTTGTGGGGAATTCTAGTATAACAAAGTTTCCAATGGCTAAAAATTACCGTTGATTTTTTAGAGTTTTCTTTGCATTTGCTTTCAAATAGCGAATGAACATAATTTATTTTTATGTGGAATAAAACAACGCAACAACTTAGGAAAAAATCCTAAAACGGAAATTTTCAGCCATTTGAAACTATTATTCTAGAATTGAGTTGGCTACAAAACTGCATACTCAAAATATTTATAGAAACTCCAATTAAACAGCTCGAAATTTTTACGAAAGTTTGTTGAATTTTTCTCAAATCTTGCACAAAGTCTGAAACTTGGATTTATATGGTTTTTGTTAAAGAATAAACATAAATATATATATATAAATAATATTATTATAAAAAAATAACTCAAATTAAATAACAAAAAAATAATAATAATTGGCGCGACCGCTGTATGTATGTAAATATTATCTCTGTACATAAATATTTTTAATTCTTTATTTGTTAAAAACCTTTATAAAAGTTTGGTTTGGTTTATTAATACATAGATTAAAAAAAAGACCAGTAATATATCAAAATACATAATTTTTTTTTTTGTAAGTAAGGAGATATCTGGGTGGGGAATTTTACGAAATTTCGAGCAAAATTGGAGAATTTCATTGTCGAAAACAGGGGAATTCTCAAAAATGAGTTGGCTACCCTGATGTCTGCCCAAAGCAATTGTACGCACACGTCTTGCACTGTTCTATACCCATAGTAGTACATATGTAGCTTTATCTATATGCTTGGCCTTTGATAAGCAATGAAACATTGGATAATTTCTTCTGCGATTCTGCTACACCACTCTTGCTAACCAGCTTTTCTTCTCTTGCAGTGCAGTTTTTCTTTCTTCTCGCCTCGCTCATGGCACCTTCGTTCGTTAATTTACTGGAGGTTTTACGAATTTAACGGCGGGTGTAATCAATATTAACCTGCCTATACATATGTACATAAGCAGATACCCCTGTATATATTTATGTATATATGTATGTAAGTATGTACATATGAGTGTGCATTTGGATTTATATACATACTTCCAATATTTTCATAAAATTACGATTGTAAAACGGTTTGCGCTTAGACACGATGCTTACCAAATAATTTTTTGGAAATTTTCTTTAAATACTCGTATTATCACCTTTCACCAGTACTTTTGCACATGCAAACAATAAACGCGAAGATGCATTTTACTCAGCTTCTGTTATTTTATTAAGGCCCGCAGCACAAACTCAAAAGATGCTCCCGCTTAACTAAATACATTCGTAACGCGATGTTTTCAGCTACGCTGTCATAGTGAAACTATATTTTTTGCTCAGATCTGCCATTTACTTGAATGCGAAAGCGCCTATCAACAGATGTATTCAAGCTTTATTCATAATAACAGGATGTTATCGTCTGGAAGCTCTGAAGTCCGTCTTTGTTTAGCAAACTTTCTCACCTTAGTAAGCTTTATGTAACTTTAAAGCTTTATTTAGCAAATAAATATAGATACGTGCAAATAAAGAGAAACGCGTAAATTAATCATACACAATATAATCACAGTGAAATCGTTAAAATTGGGTACCTTATAATTAGGATATCTGTACAACCTACATCTGTGCCTACAATAGCAATAACAAAAATATCCAGCTGAACTCAACACTAGGGATCAAACGATACTCGATACTTTTGCTGCGATACCAAGTATTTTTTCACTCGATGCTTTTCAATCCGATACCAAGTAAGTATCGATACTTTTCTTTCGATACATTGAGAACCCTCCTGAAAACTTTTTTTGATTTTAAACGCAACTTGCACAATTGAAATGTCGTTTAGCACACTAACCGCCCTATTCCCACAACACTGACAAAATTCATCATATGACTATTGTCACAATTACTGCGCCTAAAACACAATATAAACATTGTTTCGCCGTTGTCACTTATTCAATAGGTCATAACAATAAAACTGACAATTGTCATATGATAGCTTAAAATAAATTTGCGGCATAGTATTAGGCGCAATAGTAAAGGCAATAGTCAGCCGCTGAGTTTTGTCAGTGGTGTGGGAATAGGGCGGTAAGGGCCGTTTTCACAAGTTGGTTGCATTAAAATTTATGATTGGGCGCGTTCATAAGACGTAGCTGTTTAGCTCAATAGCTACGAAACTGCTGGCAACTGTTGGACCCAACAATTACGTCTTAGAAACGGCTTGATGAATATGCTGTCAAATAAACAGCTGATAAATGTAAACAAATGAAATTGCAATAAATAGAGATAATTGCGCCGCTGGTACTTAGATCTCAACGCTGAGCTGCCGCCGTTTAGAAAAAATCGTTCAATGTTATAATGAATTAAAATAAAATATTATGTTTGTAGGCTAGTCTGATCTTTTCAGTTCTGGTGAGAATAAAACTACTTCATTCCACTTTTCACCCGACGTTTCGCTAAAACTTTTTTAGCATCCTCAGGGGTAGTGTTTATTTTATCTGTTACAACAAATATACAAAAATACAAAAAAAACACACACATTAAGTATTAACCGAAAAAACAAAAATGTATACATATATAACAACAAATTGAATTTAATGACAAACCAACTCACATTGTTTAGATATTCAAACATAGATATGTATATGTATAAATACTTAATCACTAAAAAAGAAAATATATCCATACCACTTGATGTGGTAGTTTTGTCAGTACTGAAAATTTCATTTTTGTAAACAAGTTATGTATGCTGCCGCAATGTTGTCTGTATCTTCCTTCTTATTAATTGTCATTTCTCGTTTTTGCATAATTCAAGTATATAATTATATAGCAAACATCTTAAAAAATATATTTATAAACGTGGTATTATTATAAAATATTTTAGTTACTTAATCACATCAGTAATATAAAATATAATAAATTTGTTTGCAACTGCCTCCTGATAAAGCGGCGTTGAATTTAATATAAGCGACGTAAATATTTTCGATCAGTGTTTATGCTAAGCCCAACACGTTGAGTTCAGGTAGCGTACTAATTTTCCGCTAGTAAAAATGGCGGACAGTTGCCAACTGTTGAGCTGAGCGGAACTACTCAACTGTGCGTTTCTAAGACAAATATCCAACGGTGAGGCAACAGCTACGTCTTATAAACGCGCCCATTGTGTCTAAAGTAAAGCATTTTATTATTATACCTTTCATGAGCATGAAATGGTATTATAACTTTGGTCCGATGTTTGTAAGTACCAGAACAAAAAGAGATAGACCCATGAAAATGTATACTTATATGATCAGAACGTCGAGCTGAGTTGATTTAGCCATGTCCGTCTGTCCGTCTGTCCGTCTGTCCGTCTGTCCGTCTGTCTGTCTGTTTGTATGCAATCTAGTCTCTCAGTTTTCGAGATATCCGGATGAAATTTGGTAGGTGGGTGTATTTTTATAATGTATTAATCATTTGTCGGAACCGGAAGAATCGGACCACTATAACATATAGCTCCCATACAACTGATTGTTCAGATATGAGATTTTTCATTATAACTTCTCCATTTATGTAGTTAAGAACAAGAAATTTCGCAGCACTTTCACCCATTATCAACAGAATACTTATAGTGAAAATTACAAAGATCGGGTCACTATAACCTATAGCTCCCATACAACGGATTGTTCAGATATAAAATTTTGCGTTATAACTCCTCCATTTATATAGCTAGGAACATGAAATTCCGCACTGTTTTCAATAATTATCTACAGAAAACTTACAGTGAAAATTAAAAAAGATCGGGTAACTATAACCTATAGCTCCCATACAACTGATTGTTCAGATATGAGATTTTTCGTTATAATTCATCCATTTATGTAGCTAGGACCATGAAATTTCGCGCTGTTTTCACTCATTATCAACAGAAGACTTACCTCGAAAATAATAAAGATCGGGTCACTATAACCTGCAGCCCCCATACAACTGATTGTTCAGATATGAGGTCTTTTATCATAACTCCTCCATTTATGCAGCTAGGAACATGAAGTTTCGCACCATTTTCACTCATTATTAACAGAATACTTACAGTGAAAATAACAAGGATCGGATGACTACAACATATATCTTCCAAACATCAGATTGTTCAGATATGGGATTTTACTGTAAAACTTCTTTATTTGAACAGCTAAAACCGATAAATTTCGTAAGATATTTTATAAATAATAATACAAAGTCTACTGAGAAAATCGTCAAAATCTATGCTGTATAAGCTTTATCTCCTATAGCACTGATTGTTCAGATACCAGTTTTTGCGATATATCTCCTTTATGTAGGAAACTAAACCCAATAAATTGTGTTACCGGTTTACATACCGATCACATAGCGGTGAAAATCACTTAGATTGGTGTCATATAAAGTATATCTTCCATACCTCTGATTGTTTAGATGCGATTTTTAATATAAGTATGTAACTCCTCTATCGATGTATGCAGATGTATTCAAAAGCAGTAATCTGTCAAAGTAAAATTTGCAGATGTTCATGAAAGGTATGAAGCCTTCGGCATAGCCGAAGACAGCGCTGCTCTTACTTGTTTTAAATTGGTTTATAACCAAGAAACATACATACGTCAAAAACCGATAATAGAAATGCTTAACTTTAAACATAGCTTTCTTTTTAATCCAACCTTTAAATATAAAGTGAGATTTGAAGTTAAAGGCTACATCAGTAAACGGCCCTAAGAAGGGTAAAGTCTTGGCTGCGCTCCACAATGAGAGAAACTCGACTTATCAGTAATCATTTACATACATATATGTATATGTATATAATTGCTCAGTCATACGACTTATACCTTGGTTATAATGCACGGGGCGAACCGTAACAAATCGCGGCGAATTCGTAAGGATCTATTGATTTTAGATGCTTCCGTTTTACGTTACGGTCAAGTGCATTATAATCGTTCGAATTCATTGCCCATACAATAGATAATTAAGTGACAGTTCACTCCGTTCCGTTACTTCTATTATAATCCAGGCAGTTGACTGTGTTTGTCACAAAAGTATAAAGTCCCTGCAGTGAAAAATTATCAATTGTTAAAACTAACCAACTTATAATTAGCTTTTTGGCGAGATTTCGATTAATACCTCACTTTTAATTAGCTATGACAAAACCAACTTAAAGTGAATTGTAAAGTCGTGCAGGAGTCATGCAGACGCAATTGGGAGTTGGTTTTCTTTACAAGTTTCTATTAAATATCCTCATACAAAAATTACTTTCAATACACTTTTTTTCTGAACTTCGCAGATTCTTTTTCATATTCAGGACAAATAAAAGGAAGATCGAAATTTTATACTATCATTTTGAAGTTATGTCTGACGGTGTTCGAATATGGGGCCACCCAGAGCAGAATATGTAAACAAATATGAAATGTAATAAAATAAAGTAAATAAATAAGTAAATAAAAAAGTAAAAAAACAAAAAAATATTTTGTTTTTCTTATTGATCTTTTATGTCCAAAAGTAGTTAGTTACAAGTTAGTTGACATGTAATGCAGAGGTATCCAGGTCTGACTTTTTTGCGGCCATCGCCCCACAAAAGTAGTTAGCTTTTTTCGAACAAAATACACAGTTAATAGTTAGCACTAGTGTTCGCGTAAACAGACTAAAGTTAGGTATAAGCTAACGTCACTCCCTGCAGGGGTGGCAGGAAATTCGATAGTGAGCAATATAATCAACACCCGTATCTTTCGCATCGTTACTTTACTGTTACTTTTGATACAAGCACTTGTACCTCACACGAATCATCGCAACGAATCTTGCAGCGTAAGGAAGTGTTTGTTCGTACATATGCATACATGTACATATATACATATGTATACACGCAACATACTTTTGTATCGATTCGAACAATTTGGTACAATCAAGCACTTGTACCTCACAGGGTTCATCGCAACGAATCTTCTAGCATAAGGAAATGTTCGTTCGCACGCAACACACTTTAGTATCGATACGAACAACAGTTTCGTTCCCGCACTATATATTCGGTTCTTTCCCTAACAATCCGGACCGGATCCGCTAATTAGAGAATAAGCGAAAAGTTTGCTCTCAAAATTGGAACATAATCCAGAAGTACGGGAATTTTTGTTTTGTTTTAATGCAGCATTATAGACAAATATATACGGAAATTTTTGGGAAAGTTTCATATTTAGACAACAAGTAGTTCTAAAGTTATAACAATATTATGGTGACAACCCCGAGCGGGCGCTCGAATCTAGGTAACAAATATTTTTACATAGCACTTGCACAAATAATTTTGGAAGTAATGTTAAGTGAAATATTGCAATTCATAAATTTATAAGTGTTATATAACTTATTAAAGTTCTTTGTTATAAACTTAAAACACATATGTACTTACATACCTACCTGCATCAGAACTGGAACGTACGGTGGAGCGTAGGCTTAACCGCCCTCCGACGAAATACTTTACGGTGGTACCAGGGGGATACGGTACAGCGGACATACATAGAGTTTTAGTTCGGATTAAAGTTCCACACTACGGGGTACAGGCTTTCCATGCTTTGTCCTGAAAAACTTACATACATATGTATGCGTGTAACTGCATACATAGTCAAAGTAGTTATTCGTACAGTGATTGTTTTCCGGTCATTTTTCACGAAAATAT